CCAGCTCTGGAATGTGAGCATCCCCAACCCCACACACACAAAGAACCGCGGTTTAACACTTGTTGACTGTTTTCCAAAGTTTTTCATCCCCCCCTGTTTTGGAAAACCCGAGCGTACACCCTCACCTCACACCCATGGCACAGAACCTCGGCTTCTGCTTCTCCCTTGCCGTCCGGCTCTTCGGGCTTTTTTTTCCCCTTAAATCCCGCCGTCTCAAGATCCAGACGCAAAAGTTGCGATTCCCCTCCCCAGCCGCTGCCCTGCGACTCGATGAGCAGCACGACCAGGACGATGCAGACAGACCCCGCCGCTGCGATCTGACAGCCGGTTCTCTCCCCGCAGATGGACCAGGGGGGAGCGGGACAAAGTGCGCTCGGGCACTTAAAGGGTCTTAAAGGCACGATACTTGACGTGCACTTGGGCACTCTGCTCAGAGGGAGAACAATACCAGAGAGAGCATGGAAAAAAAAAAGGCTCGCACCAAAGTTACCTCTCAACACCTCGGAATGCGTTACCCGGCAAATTTGAAGTCGCAGTATTTTTCTTTTTGCCTCCCACCGTTTAATAGGCTTGAGAAATCCGTCCGCTTGGGAGGGCGACGAGTGATCCCGCCTCACCCAAGAATCAGTCTTGGTCTGGAGATACAATGCATTTGCCTGTCAGTTCGCCCTATCCTCCCACCCCCCCCGTCCCCGGACAAAACATTACACGAAGACCGCGAAACCGATAAACTGTTATTCAGATAAATAGATCAGGAATCCCGTATCCAGCCCCCGGCAGGAGCTCAAAAGGAAGTTTGCAAGATGACATAAGAATTTTAGAAAGGAGAAATGACGTTGAAGCAAAATTACGTCTTCACTATGTGCTCTTTAGCTATAAATGCTTATTTACATTTCAGTGTTTTATAGTTAACAGAATACCCGCACAGTTAAGTGTGGCTGTGTTCATCGGTGCATAATTTCATTTGCTGTGAGCCTCATAATAGTTAATAACTAGTCCCATTGAGCATACAAGTGCTGGGCTTCTGACACTAAGGTTTAATTCCATTAAGGGCTGGATGTTTGTTTCGAGACTAGGAATGGAAATTCTTATCCTACATAACAGGCCGAAGTACAATTTTGAACAGCCCAGAATGGGACATTTATTTAAATGCTTAAACCAATTAGTAATGGAAAAAAAAATTGTAGTGTATTTTATTTGGTCTGAGGGCTTATGACTGTATAGTTCCGCAACTGTGTTTATGCTTGGACCATGACCTTTTGCATTACTTTAACGCTGAACTCCTTAAGCCCTCCTAAACCTTCAGATTTGATTAAATCCATCTTGTGTGAAGTCACTACTCACACAAACTGTTGTGCAAGAACAGGGCCTCTACGTACAGCAGAACTGGGGAAAAAAGTCGGATTTAGGGAGATTTTATCCAGTACTCAGGAATACGAGCTGGGTTAGACCACGGTGAGACGGGATCATTTTACCTGACTGATGATGTGTTGTTGCAGCAGTAATGAGAAAGACCCTAGGCTCTTGTTTTTGATGTCTTTGTGTGGCTGAGGGCACCACTGTACCTTCTAGGGATTATGACTATGCCTTTAAGTCAGAAGCTTCCTTAAAAGTTTGTTTTGAACAATTACAGAAGCGAAAATACACTCTCCACATCCAAACCTTCAGTTATGGCTCTTTGAACAAAAGGATTCCAGTTTTTCTCCATTTTTTTCCCCCCAGGTGGCCTGGTAAGTCAAAAAAATGGAATGTAGCACTTACATGAAATAACCGATCTGTGGGTCAGAATGGAACTTTCCCATTCACGTTCTTTCCCAAATTTGAAATGAATTGCTGAGAGGGGGGGTGGGGTTCTCTGAGAGTTCTTGCAACGAGCGCTCACTGCTTGTTTAAGTGTCTAAAGACAATAGAATCTCCCATCCGCTTCGTCATTCCTGAAAGTGAGCTCCCCACCCAAAGACACAATTACCACAAATCGTTTGTCAGCGGATCTGGGACATCCCAGACGATGGTTCCCCTGGAATCACTCACTATAAATACGGCATGCTGCCCAGAGGAAACATCACCTTTCGAAAGAGGAAACACATGCTTTTCTGCCCCCGGCTCTAGACCGGGGGCTTTCCTTAGTTTTCGTTTTTTGTTGTTTTATTTTGTCAAATGAAAGATATACGCCTTGTGATCGCAAGGGTGAGGAAAAAAACAGAACCAAAGCCTTCTGGCATTCCAGGAAGTTCACAGACTGAGCTTCACATTTTGCGCACCTGAAACCTGATATAAATAATATAATATAATATAAATCTAAAATAAATCTGTAAACCTCACCTTCTAGTGAAATGCTCCCCTGCAGGAAAGAGAATTAAAATTCCAGTTAACATGCCAGATTGGACAAACTGCTCACAGTTCTTACAAGAACTATAACATATACTATGATGGTTCTCCTGGTAACTCAGGCCTGAGAAACGAAATGCCACAGACAGCCCAGAATCGTGACCGCTGGGCTATGTCATTGAACCCGCAGCTCCACACTGCTGCCAATCGGAGAGACGGCCCAACTTGTTAACACTGTGCTCCAGCACTTTAGCTACAGGGAGACGAAAACAAAAAGCAGCCGAGCTACACAAGCTCACCTTTTTCCACACCGCAGCTGGTATTCTATGAATCATCACTGTTCACAGCTCCTTTACCCCAGTGATCAATTTCAAAAGTGGAAACACATGAGAGCATGGGAAAATTTGCTAACTTGGGGGAGGGGACTCAGCCCATCTAGGTGTCTAAACCGGGCTACAGTCTATCTTGAAACTAGCCAGGGGATCAGCATCAACAACACCACGATGTGGTGGGGGAGCTTGTTCCAGACTCCCACAACCTTTCGTGTAAAACAGTCCCTCCTATGCTGTGTTTTAAATACATTTAAATACAAAGAAGAAATTCAAACAAGTGGACCTCTATAAAGTTCTCAGAAAGCCAATCTGCTGAGCTAGAGCAAATTGTCAATGGCCTAAAATGGGGTGGGGCAGGACAAACTGGATGAGCCCTTTCTGAAGAAAGCACTTTTCCCTTCCTGGGTGCAGTGCAGAGCTGTTTATGACGTGGCACAATCCTGCTTTCACCTAGAAACCCAAGTAATTAAAGCTCTGCGTTACAGGATTAATGCTATCGGCTGTGCCAACGAGGATAAGCAATGCAGAACAGGAGACTTGCTTGAGAAAGCTCTTATGTAAAACGGCAAAAACAAAAACATCCAAACAAACACCCAGTCCTGGGTTTTTCGGCTGCCAGGGAACTGAGAAGTCTTTCATAACAGGCGACGTTCCTCACATCTCAACTAGAGTGCACTTGCAGCTGTTACAGGGCAGTAGGCTCATGTGCGATAGAATTTGAAAGAGGTTTATATTTCTGCGTCCTTTGCCCATTTTTCAGTTTCTTTCCCTTGACATGCCTTATAGCACACCTTCCCAAACATCCGGAAGGGCTAAACATCCCTCACACAGGTTTGTGAAAACAGTTCCCATAAGAGATGACTGCAAAGAAAACCAGGTACGAGGATGTATTTGAAATGTATTGCAGTGTGTCTGAAATATAGCCAAGAGCTTCAATCATCCTTCACAGTTCTCTGAAGGGGACTGAGAGTACTGTACAACACAGTTGTTTTCCCACAAATGCATCTCCCTGTCAGCTTTGAGCCTTTGTCTTTGAGCCCGGTATAGTCAGCTAACAGGCCAGACAGCACCACTTAGAAGCAACACATATAATGAGTCACATATGGGTAAGAAAAACAAGAAAATACCAAGAGTTTATTCCAAAAATACCCCTCAAATATAAATAACATGATTCTGTCGTTGTTTGTGGTACTGTATTCTTCCTGTGTAACTGTTGTTTAACCTGTGAAGTCGCTGGGTTTCTTATCTTCTCCTGTTCTGTGCGCAAATAAGTTATCACAGCCATTACCTGTGTGGTACAGTGCGACAAATCTACAAGTCAAGCTATATGACATTGTCTTTTCCCCCTTAACTTGCGTCACCCAAAGTTAGAATTGCAGATGGAATGAAGAAAAGTAATCTTTGTTGTTGTTCCTGTATTTCTTTACTATTTTTAATACCTCAATATTTCAATATAATTTCTCTGTTTTAAAGGAATATTAGAGAATCCAGCACACTGCCTTACTTACAACCTAAAAAAATAAGGTGTATTACAATCTCTGCTTTCCAATGATTAAAAAATGCTTTTTTGGCTTGTAGCATTGAGAAGCAGTCTTGTTTCCTCCTATATATAATCAATGAATCCTCTGACTGGTGACGTATCCATGCAAAATTATAATAATTCGGTCACAATTAATAAATTAGTTCTCTTACCAGTCACTGAACTAGAATTTCAACTGGAACATGGCGAGCATGTGCTCCTGTTGCAAAGAACTGGTTTGCAAAAGGCTTGTGAAGTAGTTCTTGGACATTTACCAAAACGTGTGGGTCGTTTTATCCTCAGTAACATCCCTGGAGGTTAACCCTGCTCAGTGTTGAAACTTATACTGTATATGCCTTTCACCGAAGACGAAAAATGTATTCACAAAAGCGCCTTGGGGCAACCTTGTGGCGAAAGGCGCTATATAAAAATACATTGAATTGAATAGAAAATGCTGCGATAAACTCTGTCAAACCTGTGTTTGTGAGGTGCATGCGATTGCCATTCATCTGTTGTAGAACCAGTGAAACCAGGAAAACAGAGAGAACTGAGCATTGGAAAAACTTCAGAACAAAAGCAGAGCTGTTTTTTCTAGCGATTTCTTTTACTCGAGAAAGGGCCCTGACCACGGCTGCCAGTCAAAGGTAGGTTTGCCAGCTTCTGGTTTGAAATACGGCAGCATTCTTCTCGATCCATCTGTGAGGCCCCTCGGTAGCGAGAAATTTCAAGTAATGAGCTGTGGTTGGTTGCTGAAAGTCATTTTAACCTCCCCCCAAAAAAAGCATTATATTTTTAAGCCATCTGAAAGTGCAAAGACTCACCTGTCCTCTGTAAAACGGAAAATGTCTCCATCCTCTTCCATAACTGTGCCCCCTGCCTCTCCCAGTGCACTGTGGGTCTCCCGCTCCCGCCTCTCGTCAGGTTGGACCCTTTCAGAAGGGCGAGGATCCCAATTCCCCGGCGCACAGCTGGAGTCAGATTCCACGGCGGATTCTTCCCTCTTGACCTGACAGGAGAGCTCCGGAGTGCCGGCCGGATTCGGGGAAACAAGGGAGCTTGGGGAAGGGCGAGTTTGGTCAGGTCTGGGCTGGGCCTGGCACTGATTTCTCTGTGGTAAGGCTGGAGCTGCCCGGGGTCCCAGATTCTGGGGCGACTCAGAAGAGTCCACGTTTGGGGGCCCGGCGGGGGACGTTTGGGCTAAGTGTGCTGCTGCAGGTTCCTTGCTCTGGGCAGAAGGAGCCTTCTCAGCTTCGCCATTAGCTCCAGGCTTAGGCACGCTGCCACTGGACAGGGCGGATAGCAGAGGGGATTCGGGAGCAAAATCGTCAGGCTGCCTCTGGCTAGGGCGCCTGCTGAGGTCTCCCTTGCCTTTCGTCTTCTTGGAGGCTTTGCTCGACTTGTCCTTACCCTTGGTGGAGAGGCGTGGCATGGTGCCCATGTGACTGTACATGTCACTGGACCGGGCATAGGAGGGACTGCGGGGACAGGCATCCAGGTCATCAGTGCTCTTGTCATAACTGTAGCTTTTACGCTGCTTCAGGGCCGGCTTGTTCTCTGCGTTGTTGGGCGATCGACGGAAGGAGAGGTTGGAGAGACTCCCAAACCACTTAATGCCTGGAAGGAACGCAAAACAAAAAGACCTGCTGTGAGACTCCTAGGCCGATTTCTAAGTAAAACATTTCTTGCTTTATTCCCACCTAAATCATTTATTTTAACCCACCCAATGTGGAACTGACAAAGGCTCTCGGCCACCTCTGATGTACTTCACCAGCGGCTCTGTCACCCTGCAGCTCACAATGGCCGCCCCCCCCCCACTGGAGCTCAGCAGTGTGGGCCTGGCCACTACCTGGATGGGAGACCTCCTGGGAAAAACTAAGGTTGTTGCTGGAAGACGTGTGAGTGGGGCCAGCAGGGGGGCGCTCACCCTGCTGTCTGTGTGGGTCCTAATCCCCCAATATAGTGACGGGGACACTATACTGTAAACAGGCGCCGTCCTTCGGATGAGATGTAAAACCGAGGTCCTGACTCTCTGTGGCCATTAAAAATCCCAGGGCGTTTCTCGAAAAGAGTAGGGGTGTTACCCTGGCTAATTTTGCCCCTGGCCTACCATTCATGGCCTCCTAATGATACCCATCTACGAATTGGTTTCATCACTCTGCTCTGCTCCCCACTGGTGTGTGGGGAGCATACTGGTGCACTCTGGCTGCTGTCACATCTTCCAGGTGGGGGATTCACACTGGTGGTGGTGGAGGGGATCCCCATTACCTGTAAAGCACTTTGAGTGGAATGTCCAGAAATGCACTACATAAGTGTAAGTATATCATATATTACTCATTCAAGAGAGAATGAGGCATGCACACAGGATCCCCTGACACACCCAAATGCCTAGCCAGATGCCATTTGACACACTGCAAACTAGCCTTTCAGCCCATGACAGGAGACAGGACAGAAAAAGCAGCTAATTTCTCACGAATGCCAGTCCTGTAGTTCCCTGTGAAGTTGCGGAAATCGCTGTTTGCCAGAGCTCTGGGAGAACCCTGGGTGACTTATCTCAATCCGACCCTGGTGGCACTCATGTATGCTGCTGTTTGGTGCATTCTGATCACACTGAAGTCCGTGATCATGATCAGGTCTTCACCTGCCCACTGAGCAAATGTCTTTCCTGGTCGATCCACTCAGGAACCCCAGTAAGACTCCATTTTAAGCAATGGGGTACACGTTTCACCGTAAACCAAGAGTTTCAAGATCTGCTGCTCCGAGAATCTACTCTGAAAGTAAAACCTGCTATCAGATTTGTTGGAATGGAGAGGGATCTGAGGAGTCTGCTTCGCATAAACATTTTTGGAAAGCTGATCCACACAGTTTTGGAATCCTTACAGAGATGGGATACGAGTTTTGTTTGTTCTGAGAGCAGTCGCCTCTGAGGTGCAGAAGCAAGCTTAGAGGTTAGCTGTGTTTAAAAGATATAGGGCAGGTTGTAGTGACGCGAGTCATTTTTATGATGTCTCCCACGCTACAATCTGGTAAAAGTCGAGGGGTGGAGACTGCAGGAAGATATGTGAATCGGTGACCGGGGTACAAAATAAACCATCTCTCCCCGAGGAAACAGAAAGAAACCCCCAAAACGACCCGCTGTTGTTCTGAAGAAGGCGGGATGGAAAAGCACCGTGTGCTTGCTCACGACTCACTTCGTCTCCACGGCTGCCGTCACAAAGCAAAAGGGTGGCAGCAACGCAAAAAAAAATATCTCCCGTTTGATTTGTTAAACTTTCCTGGTATCGTGCCATTCAAACACTCGTAGCATCGTTTTAAAGTGTGTCTGTGCCGGAGGAATGTGTGAGTGTGTATTGGGTGATGATAGCTTTGGGTCTGAGGTTACCCACAAGGGTGAGGCAGAGGCCAAAGTCTTTGTGGCGAAAAAGAATTCACATGTTAAGGTTTTTTTTTGTGTGGAAGGAAAGAGAGGAGAGCAGGGGGTCTGGACTGGGTCTTTTCCACAGGGGCAGATGGAAATTTTTATTCAAGGACCGAGTCATTAGGCAGAGTAGCTCTGGATGCAGCGTTTTGAATTTAACTGTTGGATGATACACCCCGAGACCTTGGTTGAAAACATGATTGCAGAGACTTCTTATGCTTTTGTGGACATCTGCGAAACACTGCGCGTTTTCACGTTGCCTTTTCATTTTTCAAGTTTTATCTATTTTGGGGGTGACGTTCCGTTGAACGTTTTTTAGTTGTCAATTTTGCGGTGCATCGGCGTTTCTGACAAATAGTCCCCCCCCAAGAAAAACAAATTCAATGAAGCTTCAATGTTAACAGTTTGCATCAGACCCGGGAACAGACAAAACAAGATCCTGGAGTTTACTTTTCTAATTAAAAAAACAACCCCCCTCCCCCTCTTCTTTCGACCCCACACGCATGAGAAGCGCAATGAAACAGGTCCGGAAAAATAACGAAACATGCAACAGACTCCGAAGGAGTAAACAATGAAGCCGCAAGACACCGGCGTTTAAAGACGGCGTAGTCCACAATTCCTGTCTGCGTCGGGACGGTAAATGAAAATGAAATGAGAAGGAGCAGCACGTCGAGTTTGGCGATGAGGACCAGCAGAGCTGGGGCGCTGTGGAATGTAAACAGCGTGGCCGGCGCAGGGACATGTGGTGATGATTAGGCAGTACTTATTGCTGCCGTTTTTATGGATCGACTGTGCGCCTCTAAAAATACCAGGCGCCCCCGCATTATGGCAAGTCCCCCCCACCAGAGAAAGTGATGTGATCCTGAAACAATGCTCACACAGGCACTGAGGGCGCTGCTTGTTCTCAATCCCTTGTGCTTGTCCTGGTACACCGGTGCAGTATTACACCGTGGCTAAAGCAGAGTGCTACAGTAAGTCACGGTAAAAGCACAGCACGGCCTGGTGACGTACAGTGAAGTACGACGGTGGAAAGCTCTTGCACAGTGAAGTAAATGCATAGTAAAAGCACGGTAACAATGACGGCCAATTGACATACGTGCCCTGTATGTTTAGCATTACAGACGTTCATAAGGCTGGGGTCATTCCATGGACTGGATCTCGAAGGGATGTCCTTGCAGGCATTGGAGCTCACTAGGATGGGGCTGGCAGTCATGTTCCACTTCCTACAGCTTGGGCCAACCAGTCTGGAGGTTTTCGGACGACTGCGTTTACAACGGGACGTGCAACTTTGTATTGCTGTCCTTCGACGTAGAGAGGGCTTTTATCTTGAGCAAAGTCACACCTCATCACCTCGGGAAAATAATATATTTCTGTCACTCTGTGGGATTAACCTTTCCGTCCCACAACCCTTACCCCACAAAGCCATGCGACCCAGCGGCAATGTTGCTGGTTGTGTTATTGTGTCGAAAAATGTGGCTGTAGGGTGCCCTCCATCTGAAATGGCAAGATTGAGGGGTTATTGTGCCAGCGTGTCGTATAACAAGAATGTAGCGTGACAATCTGTTGGCATTCTTGGAAAAACACAGCGTTGCTGCCAGTAAAATATATAAGAAAACCAACACGTTTTCTTTTTTCCACGACAGCTCTATTACAAGCGTTTACAGAATGAACTGCGGGCTGTTTCCTCTGTGGGGGACAAGGATACACGAGGAGCATAGTGGTGAAGTAAAGAAAGTCATGTTCGCTGTGCTCCCCCGCGCCAAAAAAGGCTAAAAATAACACTGAGCGTTCGGGGTGGGGGGGGAGATGGGGGCTGGAGGGAAGCTCTATCATTCCATAATACTCTGCCGTTTGTTTCTTTTTTAACAACAAAAAAAAAAAAGCAGGGAAGTTTGGGGAACAAGCTGGAATTACTTAACGAAAAGCCCGAAGCTGCACAGGGAACAGCGAGGTCAACAGTTCAGATGCTGAGACTGGCTCGAGAGGCTCGGCTGGAATTCAACAGCAGCTCGCCTGAGAAGCCCCCTCCAGTGGGAAGCTACTCCAGCCTGCTTTGGCAGCCAACGGTCGAGAGAAAGGTTAACTCCACGCTGAAAAGGCGGATGAAGCAACCCAACGTTTTGGCCATTGCAAGCCAAAGCTGAGACGTTGCGTTTCTTCTTTCAAATATGATAATAATGATAATATAAACACTTATATAGCGCTTTTCTGGACACTCCACTCCACAGTTTTACAGGTAATGTGGAATCCCACTACCACCACCAATGTGAAGCCCCCCACCTGGATGATGTGATGGCAACCAGAGTGCACCAGTACACTCCCCCCACACCAGCTCTCATTGGGTGGGAGAGCAGAGTGATGAAGCCAGTTCAGAGATGGGGATTATTAGGAGGCCATGATTGGTAAAGGCCAATGGGAAAACGCCCTGGGATTTTTAATGACCACAGAGAGTCAGGACCTTGGTTTTATGTCTCATCCGAAGGACGGCACCTGTTTACGGTATAGTGTCCCCGTCACTACAATGGGGCATTAGGACCCACATGGACTGCAGGGTGAGCGCCCCCTGCTGGCCCCACTAACACCTCTTCCAGCAGCAACCTTACTTTTTCCCAGGAGGTCTCCCATCCAGGTACTGACCCGGCTCACACCTGCTGAGCTTCAGTGGGGCTGCCAGTTGTGAGTTGCAGGGTGATATGGCTGCTGGCAAATCTCAGTGTGAAGTTAAGGTTTACGTGCTCTTCTGCAGAGGAAACTCCAAACATACAGCACAGAAGGCACCAGGAGCTGGGGACACTGGCATTATAAACTCCACAAGCTCCTAAGTGGCTCATACAATACAGAGACTGCTGGCTTGTTTTCTCCAAGTGGCAGCTGGAAAGGTTTAGTTGGAAGGGAGATGCTTGGCTCACTGTGTAACAGAGCCTGGTGGTGTTGCCAGGCACTCAGTGTGCTGCTAACTCTGAGAGCCTAGTCTGCATCCTGAGTAACACAGGCCAGAGGTATGACAGAGAGGCAGATGGACGCCTGAACTCTGTCATCTTCTCTCCTCCTGAGCCAGTATAAAGTGGAGGAGGGGTGAGCCAAGCCAATGAGGGCTCGTCGATTCTGATTAGAAACAAAATGAGCTCTAACAGTAGAAGGATGTTGAATGCAGAACAATAAAATAAGAAGTGGGCTATGGACAGTTTGAGAAGCTTGG